CACATAGGGAAGAATGCATAATCTGTTTGTTTAGAATACTTTCTACTTCTATTTGCTACCCAAAAGGCTCTATGCTTCGTAGTACACTTTACAACTGACTGAGCTTTTACAATAATAAAACACCTAGTGTTAGTTGTTGTAAGGGGATTCAGATCAATTTAGATAAAATACCTAAAGAGCTTTATAGTACACATTTCCTAGTTATGGGAAGCAGACCATGGAAATAGGATTATAGTATAATGTGTGTATTTTCCTGCGATTATCAATTAATAGGAAGCTTCATATTCCTGGTAAGGGTTGTGGTAACACAGAGTCTATCTTGGAAACATAGGGTAGAATTAAGGGTGGATTGCATCCTGTACTGGACACACATCAGTGTGTTGGTCCTCTTACACATTTATTGTTTAGCAGGTCTCAGAAATAATTTTGTGGGAGCATCTCTACAATACAGTTTTTCTTCCTATCCATAAGGAGTCTTATCTCTGTTAGCAGAAATTCCATTCATTTTTTGAAACTGTGTTGCTGTTCTTCAGTTGTTGGTTTAATTCCAAGTAGGGGCCTGTCTGTGTGGAATGTGCATGTTCTTTTTTGCACAGTGCTCTGATGGAAACAACCTCCCAAAGACACAAAGATTGTTAATTAGCTACTCTAAAGTATCAGTTTCTGGAGAATGTCATATTTAGTTGTATAAAGGCTATATGAGAGTATAAAGAAATTGAACCAGGTGAGCATGATGGAGTGAATGGTCTCTTCTTGTCTGATTTCTCATTGTCTGACAACATATCAAATCATATTTATCTTGAGATTTAGTTTCCTCTCTGCCCCCAGTTCTATTTCAGTATGTGGCTGCTCAGCTTTCTTTTATGAATACCTGTCTATTGTTTTAGTGTTTCTTCTTATGTGATAGTTCTATTCTCACTAAATACCTTATGATGTTATTTAATATACTGTATAGTAATTATTAATATGTTTTAAAAAACTGCTACAAAACTTCAAGCTGTTACTTTCCTGCAAATTTTAGTTATTTTAAAACTTCAGAAATATTCTACTTATGTATAAATTGTTAGTTGTGTTACATTACCAAAGATAACTTGCAAAAAGTCTCAAGAAACTCTGTAACACATTTTAAACTGCAGCTTTTACATTCATTCAAATCACTCTCAATTGTGTAATATCCATCCAAAATTAAAAAGCTGTTTATTCCTGGTGAGAGGCACAGATACCCAGATCCTATCCAGGAAGCATAGGTTGCATATTAAGACTACACTCTGTACAGAATACAAGTCTATTATAGTGGAAATATTCACAAAGAAGATATAGAGACATCAATTAATCTAACATTTGTGACTTTGGTAAGTGAAAGGAAACAGAAACACCCAGAAAAGGTGCACAGGAACACAAGGAGAACATGTCATTTCCACATAAAAGATGTTTTATTCTGAAATTGAACCACAGATTTAATAAGTACTACCTGCACTATTTAATAGCATTTGCTTTAATCATGAGTCATGAATCAAAGATTTGTCCACTGATCTAAATGATTGTACAGAGATGGTCACATCCTACGTCAACTACTGTGTGGATAGACAGATATTTCCCCAATCAGAACCCCTGAATGAACACAGACATTTGCTCCAAACTTAAAGCATGGTCTGCTGCCTTCCTTCCTTAAAGCGTGGTCAGGTGACAGAGAACTGTGTAAAACAATAAGGTACGACCTGGAGAAAGCTATTAAACTGGCAAAGCAGGAATACAAGGACAAATTAGAAAAACAGCTTGGGGGTGATTCGAGGCACTTGTGGCAAGGCTTGCAGAATATCACAAATTACAAAGGCAATACCAGCAGTATTTTCTCCACTGAAGCATCTCTATCAGGTTAGCTGAATACCTTTTACTCCAGTTTTGAGGCTCAGAACACCAAGCCTGCTATCAAGGCTCCCTGTGAACCAGGGAACTTTGTGTTACAGCTCTCTAAACATGTGGTGTGTAGAGCTTTCAAGAGAGTGAAAACCCACAAAGCAGCCCAGATGGTGTCACATGTGTCACAATGTAATGTAAACTGTTAGCAATTTACAGGAGTAACAATATAAATAATTGTGATAAACACACTGCTGAGCTATCACAAAACAAGCACTGTGCGGACCTAAAAGTACACCCAAGATAACATTTAACATCAACAGGCTTATCCGAATAAAGTTAAAATCATCCTCCTGGATTCCTGTGCTACTCTGCTGAATTCCAGTAAGCAAAGTAGCTTGTCCTAGGGAAAGCAATCCCAAAAAAAGAAAATGTGCCTCCTTCCAGGTCTGCAGAGGCTCTACTGTGTGTCTGCGGCAGCTCCTTTTAATCAGGTGTTCTAGTCCTCTTAATTTAATTAGCACAATGGTAGCACTATCACAGAATTACATACTACATCACTTTCCACAAAGTCAAGGCAGATGTGTAGGGTGTGGTTCAAACCTGGAAATGAGGAACCCAACAAAAGAGAAAGGAATAAGAAAAACTGCACCTCAAGTAAAGACAGTAGTGGCCTGAATAGTAAAATACATACCTATACAAAATGAAAATAGAGATAAAAGCACCTTTTTGAAAACTAAAAAGAACAGGATCCAGATAAAGATAAGGAATATAATGAATTGGAAGCACACGTAAACAACATCTTTCTAGAAGTGGATAGTAGACTGAGAATGTGTTTTCTTCAGTATTTCAACAGCAACAAAATGTAAAGGATGAAGTATCTCAAAGAATATACTGAAAAACCTTGATAATAAAAGGGAGATAATAGTTGTATTGAATTGTATTTTCTGTAGGTTGTTAAGCAAAGAAGTAATTGCCAATTTGCCTAAGACTGAGTAAAAAACTCTCGAATAAGATTAGCATAGAAGAAGCAGAAGAGGTAGAGGTATTAGAAGAACATAAGATAAATAAATCTTCTGAGCCTAAATGTAAATGCTGAAATTTGGGTGATATTACCACCACAAAGATCTACAATAAGATTGATACAGATACAGCCATTCAAAATAGGTGGTGTATTTTGTGGTATACCCCAGTGGGCGTGTCGCATCAAAACGCAGTATCACGCGGTATATCGTGTCATTTGATGTCATACCGGAAAGTATCCAGAATCACCTTGTAAAACCGCCAGGAGGAGCCAATAAACCTTAACCTCTCATGTACAGCATTTGAGCTTTTAAATTTAAACTGTGTATTACAGCATGTTAATCATCAGTCATTAGAAAGTTGGTATATTTTATGAAAGCAAGATTGCTCAGTTGGACAAAAGTACACAACCTACCTTTATCAGAAATATTTATGCATCAAAGCCTTTACCGAAAATATTTCTAATAGTATTAATAATGGATGACTTTGGACAAGCTGTAAACTCAAAGTATACTGTAACACTGGTCCACATTCTTTCTAACCGTCATTTTAAATGAAAATACTTTTAGTTTTTTCTTTGACAAACACCACAGCATTTCGTAGACCTAACAAACGAGGACAGGACATTAGCTAGCCAATACGATTAAGGAATGACTTTTTTTGCTAATTTCTTTAGCACATTTGTACAAGCACTTGGAATCTGTCCAATCCCTACTTTGTCAGGCATTTTCTTTTACTGCAACGGACATAAAAACTCCCCTGCTTTTAACAGAGCGTTTCATAATTTCTAACTACGAAAATTATTTAAACTGCGACACTTATCATTCAACCAGAGCTCAAAATATCACGAGGAT